CACCATTTTGGTAATACAGTTGTTTGGAGTCGTGTGTTATTTTATTCATTTTTTTTATTTATTTAATGGCTTTTTTCAACATTTTATTTTAGTACAATATAGAATTCTCAGCACAAGGTTTTTCGACAAGTTACGTACGCAAAAAACAGTAACGAAGACGAAGAAGGAAAAAAGGCAAAAAAAAACCCCGAAAAACTGTACAACTTTCCAAATTAGAGACATGTTAAGAATGCAGGTTATTGACTACGTTAACTCTAACAACCTGTTCGTCACAGAGTATATTTGCTAGGTAAGGTATTATAGAACTTTTACACTTTTGCTTGAGTGCATGGATTTTAATGTAATTACGTCTCGTTCTACCAGAAGACATACAAGGAGAAAGATAAGAGTGAAGGGGATGGTTAGTATCTGATAAAACAACACCTGCCAGGAGTTTGCATGACTTTAGATGTCTATCCACAACCATATTAATTATGACCTCGGAAGATTCAGCACACGTCTTGCTAACTGCCTTCAGCACTCTCCGCAATACAGCAGTCTTTTCTCAAAAGCCGGGGAAGGAATAATAAAGAAAAGTAAAGAATAATAGGTACAGCAACGATTATTCAAATGATGTCACTATATTGAAACATCTACTTCAATGGCTTGGAAATGTCTTACGAATGTCGTACCAGTACATTCCACGTCGTGCATCATTTGCCGAAGCCGGAGAGGTTGTAATTGTATGCAATGTTGTCATAGTATGCAAAAAAGCGTTTTAGGACTGGTTTCTGTTGGTCCTTCATTACTCTCTGCTTGGGCCCTGGAGATGGTGCAACTCAACGGCTTCAGACGCTATCCGACATCGCTCAGAAGAGAAGCCAGTAGACATCGTGCTGTAACTGTTTCCATAAAGGTGAGCGTAACGTATTTACTTGGACAGTTCTTTCTTTTTGTATTTTTTCCTAACTGGATTGCTTCTCTCAACATTCTTTCACTCCCAAACACTAATTTTCATTCATTGTCGTTCTTTCAATTATTTGGTGGGTGGTAGGCGGTTGTTCAAAATCATATGGTTCTTATTAGTGTAGCGAAACAATGGAAAAGTTCAAATTTGAACTGGCGTCTACGGTCTGTGTAGTAGTGGTAGTCACTCGACGAAATTGAGGACGTTTGTTCCAGCAGTACTATCCTTGATAGGTATTTCTTCTCCCTGTCATTCGAAACGGTTCACGCACTTTGGGAAGTAAAAGTATCCACTTGGGTCTCATAGGAGTACTGCCAAAGAATGATCGAAACAAGCGTGATGGGTTGCAAAAGAACCTAATGGACATTCGTTGTGCCTAAACACTCGAGATTTCCGAAAATTACACAGGAGTATGCTACTCTCTCACGTCTTCAATCATATTAGGCAGTAAAAATCATTGTTATGAGCGGAATGGTAGTTCAAACACTTTCTATCGGATATTTCGTACAATTTATTGAAGACGTTGCGTCGATATTGTTTCGGCACGATTGGACGATCCCTAACTGTAGATGTGTCACAAATTAAAGTTTCCTCACTCGTTCGTGTGTTTGAATCGTAGTTTCAAGGTAGTCTAGGAAAACTCGGAGATAACTAGTAGTTGCGAGGTATGCGTTGCACGGCATTCTCACTCTTGATCTGTTGCTGACGTGTAATCAAGTGTCTTCAACCAGGACATGTCCATCAAAACTAGCGAAGTTATTATGAATGTTGAATATATCCTGGACTATTTATTTAGGTGATTTATTCACCGCAACACATTTATGTGATGATGACTCTGAAAGTATAAAACAGTGCTAATTGTTTACGGATATTTTTTGGATTAAGTGAATGAAAGTATCACGGAAGTTGTCTCTAGAGGTAGGAAAATGAAAATCCAAAGCCATGCATTGCTTTACACCAGTTCAGAGAATCAAATTCAAGCCTTATGAGGAGCTGTGGTGTTTGAATTAACTAATGATTCTTTTGTAGTTGTTGAATGCTCGATTTCGAATTCTAAATACAGTACATTCGTTGTGCCTGTGTCTTCTTAATTCAATTGCGTTAATCCTGGGATTCCTAATTCATACTATAATTAGAATACTATATTGGCGTCGCGATGGAGCCTGCAATGGAAAAGTTAGATATTCATTCAACTTCAGAAGCTTTTGAAGATTACTTTGAAAGGTTCGAAATCTGGGCTATGACCAAGGAAGATGATGAGGATGTTAATATTGTGGCACACTTCCTCACATTCATTGGAAAAGAAGCATACAGTTTATTAAGAACTCTGGCTATGCCGGAAAAACCCATTTCGCTTTCTTATACAGCTCTCAAGGATCTACTGCTAGACTATGCTCAGTATACAAATTTCAAATGTCGTAAAGGAGGAAGATTTCGTAAAATGATTCATGAGGATATAAAAAAGTCCACTACATTACTACGTCATCTCAACCTAGTGCATACTCAAGGTTATGCAGACAATTCATTGAATTTGGATGCAGTTCACGAGGATGGGGACAAGTTTGGTCAGTGTTTGTCCTGTTGCAAGTTCCACTCTTCTAATTCATGTAAATTTCATAATTCTAAATGCTTCAAATGTCGTGATATTGGACAAGTTCAGTCAGTTTGTAATGCTAATGTTCATCTTACTGCAATTAATATTAAGTCTTGTAATTCTGATTCTACTGAGTCGAGTATTCATGATGATCATTTATCTTTATCAACGATTTCAAAAGACAGTGCAGAGTCATATGGAAGTTCAGAGTTAAATGAAATCCAGAATTCTTGTGAGACAACATTTCCTAATCAACCGATTTATCAGAATTCTCATGCTATTGTACCAAGTATGACTTTTCCTAATGATTCACATATTTCTAATGAAATTACTTGCAATTCTGAGGAAAATATGTTAAATGAACCTAATCATGATCGAAAACCTGATGTGGTTTGGATAGATGCTGATTTTTCTAACGATCCTACGCTCTGCAATGACAGTCCTGATGAATTTCATGAGAATATTTCAGAAGAATCAAATCCTGATGTCATATCATATATTACCTATCCTTATAATGTATTTGATCTTTGTGAAAAACCTGCCCAATGCGAAGCACGAGTACTAAGTGACCTCGAGTTTTATTATATTTCGGATGATTTCATATCAACTGCTGTTTACTCTTATCACAAAAACAGTTCTAATGTTTACTCTAAACAATGTGAGATATATGTTTTAAATGAAGCCACATTATTCATAACTTGGGAGTATAAAGATCCAACATTATTTCGTGGGGGGGGATAGTGTTGAAAAATCTATGGTTCGAATTCTAGATATTAATGATTTCATTACAAAACCGACATGCTGGTTGTATACAATTCCAGGTGAGTCTGTTCCGATTTCGTTTGTTAATTCCAATACTAATGAGCACTTTCTAGATACTACAAAGTTTTTATCTTATACAATGTCGGACAGACTCAGGATGAACTTAACAAGAAGACGTACAACCGATTACAAACACTTATACTTCTATTTAAGCTGTGGCGGATGTGGTGTTTGAATTAACTAATGATTCTTTTGTAGTTGTTGAATGCTCGATTTCGAATTCTAAATACAGTACATTCGTTGTGCCTGTGTCTTCTTAATTCAATTGCGTTAATCCTGGGATTCCTAATTCATACTATAATTAGAATACTATAGGAGCGCCTCCAGTCGCTAAAACTTTATTCATTAGAGTAAAGGCATCTTAGAGGTAAACTTCTAATGACTTACAGCAGCTCTGACACTTCTGAACATCCCCTAAATACCTAGTTAGGTTTAGCTCCAACACAAACCTAAGAGGTAACACGCGTTCATGCTTGACTAACTTGTTTGTTGCGAAGGAGGATTGGACAGCAGCCCTAGATAACGGTCTGTCTGTCGACGTGATATGCATAGATTTTAGCAAAGCGTTTGACAAGGTTTCACACGTAGGTCTTCTGCAGAATCTCACGAGCTTCGGAATAATAGGTACTGTACATGAGTGGATAGGAAATTTCTTATGTGACCGCAGACAGAGAGTGAGGGTTAACGGAACGCTATCCGATTGGAAGCCGGTCAAAAGTGGTGTACCCCAAAGCACCATCTTAGGCCCCCTGCTCTTCCTTCTCTACGTTAATGAGTTACCGCTGTTACTTAGGTCGTCGACATTATTGTTTGCGGATGATGTAAAAATCTGGAGAACAATAAAAAGTGCGGCTGATCATCTGGATCTTCAAGCTGACTTAGACGATTTAGTTAGATGGGCTCGAGAGTGGGGTTTAGAAATCAATGCTAGGAAGAGTGTACTAATGCACATCGGTCACGGTAATAGTTACCGTTATACTATTGGGGGTAAACCTCTTCCATGCGTTCAAGAGCATAAAGACTTAGAAGTAGTATTAAGTCATGATTTAAAAAAAACTACGCACTGCAAAGCAGCCGCTGTCAAAGGTTTTCAAGCGTTATGGTCACTTCGCCGAGCGTTCAAATCTTTTGACAAGGAAACGTTTCGAATTTTATATCCCACCTATGTAATACCACACTTAGAGTACTGTATCCAAGCAGCTAGCCCATGTTTGGTAAAGGATACTAACTCCCTTGAGCGTGTCCAGCGTGTGGGAACGAAATTAGTGAAGGGTCTTCCTAGACTCCTTTACGATGAGCGTTTAAAACGCCTAAATTTTTCCCCTTTGTCGTATCGTAGGACACGAGGTGACCTTATACTGGCATTTCGTACCTTTAATTATGATTTGGGTGTTAATATGTCTTATCTTTTTGCTCCCTCCAGCACTAATAATCTCCCCGGTCATAGCAAGAAGGTTCATAAACCAAGATCTAATAAACTTAAAGTGGGGTTCCGTTTTTCTCATCGAGTAGTCAATCATTGGAACGCCTTACCTGAACAAGTGGTATCAGCCCCATCAGTGAATACTTTCAAGGAGAAGCTGGACCTTCAATGGAAAGCAGTGCGTCAGGATTAACACAAGTTCATCAACCTACTATCCTTATTACTGAAGACTGAAGACCCAGAAACTAGAGACACAACACAACAGAACGGACTGTAGACAACTTTTACTCCTTAAGAGTTGTCAAGTGCTGCTGGCTGGGGTAATCCAAGCGACTTCTCAGGAACCCTTTAAGAGGCAACCTGACCTATTTTTAAGGACAAAGGATATCTTACTACGATTTACCAATTTCTTTTTCCTCTATTACTGTTAATATATCTAGGTTCCGGCATAGAGGTATTGGTTATCTGCTGCAACTAGACACGGAAGCTCGTTAAACGAAAGTTTCTTCTATTCTGTCCACAGCCATTTGAACCATTTCAACACCAGATTATCACAAAAGTATTGAATACAAAACAAGCGGGACTTATTAATGCTGTGTTGCTTCTATGTTTCAGGATAATAATTCTTCTCCTCTAATATGCTTGTCAAAAATTGTCCTCAGCAACATACCTTCTGGGTGGAAGGTTAAGTCTCAACTAAATGATTGCTTCAAGTTGTTTTCAAATATTTTGCCTTTCTCATCACCACTGGAATTGGAGTATTTTTTCCAGTTTAATCATTTCGCAAACAAGGGAGAAATAAAAACTATCTATGGGACGTTCGCTTACTACAAAATATCAAAGAATTTGAAACAACTGATGTTTCGGAAGGAACTATCGCTTAGTAACTCATGTTTGTTGTCTCTAATAGAAAATCCTCCTCCTAATTTCACCACTCATTGCTTGCTTGGTCTACCTTCAACATTATTTCGACAGTTTATCATTATTGTGAGTGCTTTGTTTTCCTCATTCCTCCAATAGAATTTTTGTATATATTGGCTTCCAATGACACATGTATTATATCATCGCACAGTTCCGGAGGAGGGCAATACCGGGGCTTTGCAGACTGTTTTCAGTTTTTTAGCCGATCCACACGTTTTCAACAAATTATATGAAACATGCAGGTTTGTAATAATGTGACCTCATTCATATTGTTTAGAGATGTGCAAGTGTTTATATATTCTTGGATGCAACATAGTCATTTCTATGGTGTTAGTGGGGCAAACACAGAGGGTGAGTTTTCCTATGTTGATTATGTCTATCTTTCCTTCCCATTGAAAAGTTAGTCTTTTAAGGTCTTTCGCAATTTAATTGTTTTCAGTAAATTTTATGCATACAAAACGTTTTCTTTGTACTGCGGTACAACTAGTATGTGGACCGTTAGAGATGTACGTTTTTGTTGTGATTAAAAAGAAAAAAAATAGGAAAACATTGAAGTAGTGTCATTATTTTCTTTTTGTGGCTGAAGTTTCTAAATTCACTTTATATTTACCTAGTGGTTAAAATATTTTCGTATGTATGGGTTCAATGTGCAGTATAGAAAGGTCCCAACCATAGTTACTACTTTAGTGTGGTGGTCGAAATGGCCTATCGTGGTGACTCAGCTGTGTTATATTGTTTGAAACACATGCTTCTTTTAGGCCCCTTTACACTAGACAGGTGGTTTGTAGAACAGTGAGACTAAAAGATATGCTGCCGACTGTAGAGGAATGTGACAGTAGTAATGTAATCTATTTTCAGTTGCTTAACTAAACAATCATTTAATTTTCGTTAACTCCATGAGTTCTAATCACTATCTCAATGTTCTGGGACTTTCCCTTCCAAACTTTATTTGTCCAAAACAAATTTTCGTAACCTTACTAACTCTTGAAATCTTCGCTATATCATGATACATATATTCATCTTTGATCACCCTCGTATGTATAAGTATGTCAAATACTTGTAATAACGTTGATTTTCAAATATCTTAGGTTGTAAGCAGCTGATTAGAACCTAACAAAATAAAATAAATTCATATTACTCTGCATCAGTCTTCGTTCTTGTTCTCTTTAAAAAGGAGATAGTCTACTGCCTTGTCGGACACCGTTTGGGGTCGCGAAATCAGATGGTATTTCTCATAAGCTCTGAATTGACTGGTAGTGTTCAAGGGAAAAGCATTCACAAGGTTTATGTACTTCTGAGGTACATTTTTCAATGACACCCACAGAACCTCGGTCTACAGATTCAAATGCTGTTTTTAAGTTAAGAAAGGCCACCATTGTCGGACGTCGATAAGCATTCCTGTGTTCTAAAATCTGGCGAGTAGTTAATATGTGGTTGATGCAGCCACGATCAGGTCTGAAACCAGCCTGATTTTCTCGTGTTTGCAGTTCGCTAGTTTGTGTTAGGTGTCCGATAACTATTGAGGCTAGCATTTTAGATGCTATCTTAGTCAAACTAATCCCTCTGTGGTTATCACAGGATGATTTTGATCCTTATATATTGGGATGATCAGTGATTGTGACCGATCAGATGGAATCACGTCCAGTTCCCAGATTTTTAGCTGGAATATTAGTCAACCTAATCTCTGAAACTGAACCTTCATCCTTAAAGATCTCTGGAATAAACCCACCTGGACCAGCTGCTCTCCCTCGTTTCAGATTAGCTGTGGCTTTTTAAATCGGGGACCTACTCCAATGTTCCATTCAGGCTGTTTGAAAATTGGGTAACTGTAGACTAGCTGAAGGCCGGCTGAACTGCTCCTTAGTGTTCCGCCCATCGTTCTAAACGTCTGGACTGAGAGCAGATAATAGTATCGTCTTTTTCCGAGATCGTCTCACATCTGATCTCTTAATTCCAGTTCCTTCCATTCGTTTGAAAAGCTGTCTTGTGTTGCCTACAACCAATGCCTTTTCCATCTCTTTTGCTTCCGTTGCCCACCACTGCTTACGGTCGTTCCGTAGACTTTTGGTTAACGTGGATCTAATTTGTTTTTGCTCTCCATCATGTTCACAGACTGATGTGATGAGTTTACGAGAATCTATTAGTGAAATGGACTTCGTTGAAATCCATCAGTTTTTCATGACCCTTTGGTTTAAATCACTAATAGAAGTCGCTGCTGTTTCCACAGCTGTTTGTATATCTTTCCAAGCAACATTTGGGTGCAGCCTCGTTTTCAGAAATACCTAAGTGTGACCTCAATTGTTCCTGGAATCTACTTTTGGTTTCCTCATCACTGAGTTCAACCGTAATAGGTCTTCGTAATGTGGTTTTTCTGCGTTCAGCGGGGCACAAGTCAATGCCTGCTCGTATCAAAGCATGATCCGAGTCCACACAAGTATTCCAGAACGATCGACAGTTTTCTACCTAGCCTCTTCAACGATAACTGATGGCAATATGGTCTATTTGAGTCCATCGTTGGTTTGGTGCAGGCGGTCACCACTTTAGACTATGTCTTTCCTTATGCTTAAAATTAGCGTTTGCTATAAATGAACGATTGTCTGAGCACAGTTGTAGCCGATGGTCACCATTATCTGTTCATTGAACCGGAATACTAAAATACCCACCAAATATCTTTCTTTTCGGTTTAAGCTACTTACCTGGGCATTAAAGTCACGTGCTACGTGTACTATGTCTCTCCCCACTCTCAGCCGTACCAGGGCAATCGGGGGCGAAACCTCGAAGCACTGGACGGCCGCTTCGTCCTAGTATAGGGCTGTTCAGCAGTGCGCATCCACGATCCTGCACCCCGCGGGATTTGAACCCAGGACCCACTGGTTTCGCGCGCGAGCACTTAGCCACTAGACCACTGGGGTTAAGTCTACTTCCGATTGGGTCCAAACTATTGGCTTTCGTCATACTTCGTAGGTTGTTCAAAACCCGAGAAAGATTGACGCGCGACGGGCAGGCTGGTTTTCGTTCTGGTCGAGGATGTATTGATCATATCTTCACCCTCCACCAAATGTTAGAACACCGTCATACTTATCGCAGGCCAACAATCGTAGTGTTTCTTGACATAAGGGCTGCCTTCGATTCGTTGGACAGGACTGTTCTCTGGGATTGTCTATTGAAGGAGGGTGTGCCTGAGAAGTTTATTAACATCTTAGAGGCCCTATATACAAACACCTCAGGCAGAGTGAGGGCATACAACCACCTCTCTCGATTGTTCCATTCGAGCAGTGGGGTTAGGCAGGGTTGCCCAATCTCACCATTCCTCTTCAACTTTGCCATCGATGACATTCTGGAAACAGCTCTGATGAATGTAAGTAATGGCGGTGTGGATCTGTTACCTGGAGAAAGACTTCTCGACCTTGAGTATGCGGACGATATTGTCTTACTGTGCGATAATGCCCAAGGCATGCAATCCGCACTTAATCAGTTGGCAATCAGTGCAAAGTACTTCTACAAGACTGGCAGGATTCTAATCCTGTACTCACCCTGGATGGTGAGCAGATAGAAGTAGTCGAGAAGTTCGTGTATCTGGGTAGCTGCATAAGTGCTGGTGGGGGTGTGTGATGAGATCAATGCACGTATAGTGAAAGCCAGAGTGGCTTATGCCAATCTGGGCCACGTTTGGCGCCTTCGTGATGTTAGTCTGGCTGTAAAAGGTCGGATCGACAACGCGTCGGTTAGAGCAGTTTTGCTCTATGCTTGTGAAACCTGGCCTCTCCGAGTTGAGGACGTTAGACGACTATCTGTATTCGATCATCGCTGTCTCCGAAGGATTGCTGACATTCAGTGGCAACACCATGTCAGTAATGCAGAGGTTCGGCATCGTGTGTTCGGGCACAGAGATGATAATTCAATTGGTGTCACCATCTTGAAACACCGACTTTGGTGGCTTGGACATTTTCTCCGAATGTCGTTCCAGAGAATTCCACGTCGGGCATTATTTGCCGACTTTGGGACTGGTTGGAAGAAGCGGAGAGGTGGTCAGTGCATGGCATGGTGTCGTGGCATGAAGGAAAGCTGCAAAGGACTGGCTTCTGTCGGTCCTTCACGACTCCCTGGTTGGGGTCCGAGAGACGGTGCTACACAGTGGCTTGAGACGTTATCAGATGTGGCTCAGAGTAGAAGCCAGTGGCGATCCTGCTGTGACTTTCATTTACTTTCTTCATAAAAAGTGGTTGTGTCTCTCTTACCTGAAAGATTTCTTCTGATTGTACCTTTCTGTTCCCTCATTTCTACCATACTACCTTACACCAATCTCTTCGTTATTGTTCTCGTGTTTTTTGCGCTCCTTACCTGTTTTTTCTATTTCTCTTCGAATTCTCATTGTTTTGTGTGGCGCATATATATTGGCGCTCTCTTGTACCAATATTCATGTGTTCAAATAAATAAATAAATAACAGGGTCCATCCTAATAGCTCTTGTTCTGCCTTCGTACTTAGCGTCATGCCTACACTTGCCAGTTCACGAGAACTAGCCTTTGGTTCACCAGATAAACGGAGGACGTATCATCGGCTCTCCGTTTTGACGAGGTGGGGTCGAGTGAACGACCACACTAGGACCCTGTATTCGTGTATCAGAGACACGGCATAAATCAATTGTACGAGATTCTAGGGAGGAGACCTGGTGACCGATTTGACATAGCATGTGTACGTTGAAGGCTACAATGTGTAGTTTGGAGCGAGGTTTCAGTAGACCTGAGACAGTGTTTCGCGCACTTGAGTCGCTGGTCATGGTGACACTTGAGGAGGAATTCGAACGAGGATATTTAGAATTGATAGTTGAGGTAGGAGGAATAATGGAGATTGAAGAGGGAAATTGATTATGATTACGATAGTGTTGGAGGTATGAGGGCAGTTACCACTTCCTGGTTGCCCACACCGTGGAAAATTTCTTCTAGAGGTACCTGAAAAGGAAATTGGGTTAGAGTTGGTCTTAGTGACCTGAGAGCGTTATCGCAGTGCCCAAGAGACAACTGCTTGAGGCCGGTCACACACAACATTTTTGTGTTAACTTCGTACTTATTGAGACTTTACCGCCGGAGACGCATATCTGTGGGATAAGATGAGGTATGCATTGTTAGGGTCGATCTTTTTCAGCCCCACCATGCGTTTATGGTAAGGTGGCAACGCTGTGATGTTGATTATCCGAGAGAAACACCTTGCTGCCATCAGAGTTCCGTACAGTCAGTAGTAAGACTTCGCCCTCTGACCTTGGGTTTACATGCTTTTAGTCTCACCGTTCTTCAGCCGACCTGCCTGGCATTGTATGACCTTGAGAACAATTGTCCTGGTCAGTGTAGCTCGATTGGTTCATCACGATGGGCGATCCTGACTACCAAGTCAATGTAGCAACATCGGTCGGGCTCCATGATTTCATTATCCATAAAGTCACTGACAATTGAACTTAGCCATGTCAATGGATGCAGACTACCTAGTTGGTTTCTCAGTCAGTCAGTCAGCTACAACGTAGGACCAGGCACATATATCCATGGGTCAAAGTTGCCATACCTCATTAACACAATAAGATGAACACCGGATTCATAAAAGTAGTTAATTCAGAGATGGTAATATATAAAAGAAAGATTGCAATAAGGATATAGTACAGCAAGAAAGAATTAGTTAGTAGAAAGAAAGATATGAAGCGATTTTAATCTCATAGTTTAAGAGAAGACAGAGAGTGTATACACCGACGCCATTGAGATCGATTCTGAGCCATGTCACCAAGAGTCTCCAACCATTGGTTACGATAGTCACGCGGACCCCAACCAAGTAGTCTGCATCTACCAACATGGCTCAGACTAAAAGTTAGTGACTTCAAGCACTGATGCCACGTTTTGGTTTGGCCGCCCCTAACTTTCTTCCAACCATCTCCAATACCGGATAGCATTGCACGTCGTGGTAATCGGTGTTCAGGCATACGTAACACGTGGCCCAACCATCTCAGTCGATGAAGATTCATAACCTCATCAACTGATTTACCATCATTTCCCTACTGTGGTATTTTGCCTGACAATTTCATCTTTTTATGCTAATGGAGTAGGGCAACTTGAATCGATGTACATTTGGCCAGAATTTACGTTGTGACTGACTGACTGATATGGTACGATTTCAAAATCCAATGAGCTGCTCACCAGTGTTGTGAATGGAAATCATGGACTAATAATTTCTTTATGATAGTGTACCACTTCTCTCCATTTAAATAGTACATATAATCCTTAACCATTTTTTACCATTAGTCAGTTTTATGCTTGTAAGGAATACTATTCAAAAAAAAGAATTCTTTTAACTCCAGTTAGCCAGTTGATCTTATGGGTGACTTTTTGGTGTTTAGTAAAGATAGTTACTTGCTTTTGCACATTCATAGTTCTAGCTCTGCTTTTTGGCTCTCGAGAAGGTCGTTGGAGGTATGTTGGCCTTTACTACTCCAGTTTGGTCAGATGATAGTAGTGTCACTCTCACTCACAAAATGTTTAGTAGACATGAAGTACACAAACCTATGCTTGGTTATAATTTACTAGTCGTTTTACAATGCCCGTCCTTTGTTTTGTCGAATGTTGCTTTTCAGATTTTTATCTTACCGAATGTGTTAAGTTCTTACTCTTCAACATCACGTTCTACTGTTAGTTAGATTTTATATTACTTTTTAGGTTTGATCATGAAATCAAACATGTCTGCTTAAGGTTCTCAAAGTAAAATATTTTCTGTGTATAGAAGCAACTATGTATTTCAGTATTGGATCACGTATGGACTTTAAATACATTTTTTTCACTTTTCTTTCTATGCCACATTTTGTACTTCTTACTCTGTTATAGTATTTTGTCAGATAAAAGTTTCGTTATTCAGGAACTATTTCTCAATAAGTATGTTAAAATCTAAGTTTTTGTAACCTACTGAAAAAGTCCAAGTCAGTCAGTCTTGATCAAGATAGCCTGACAAACGTTCATAATCTCATGTTCACATACCACATCAATGTGACGACATGAAATCAACAAGATAAGTAGCAGAAAAGTTGAAATAATATAGTAGTAATAATATCAATAAAGGTTTAATGCTGAGAACTTCGTTTAGGATAAAGATGTACATGAAAAAATGGGGCTAAAGATCTTGAGAAAGATAAAGCAATAAAAATGTAATAATTTCGTTGTTTTAAACTACTCTTTCGTTAACTATAGATTGTATAATAGTTTGTGTGATATAATTCTAGAAAATCATCTACTATCGCTTCATAGCTACTAAAAGTAATGTACAATCTTCATTATAATATTATTATATATTGAACTTTTCCAGGTTTTTGCTTTTGGAACTGCCAGCAACTAAATACTTTTGAACTTTTTACTGACATCTTTCATTGTTGACAAACTAACAACTCGAAGACAGTAACATAGGCAGTAAATGTAATTCAGTTTCAGTTTTTTTTCTTGCTAAAAGCGTCACATGCGTTGATCAGCCAATCTCATAGTTAATTATCAAGATATTTTAGTTGTGGTGATTTTTTTATGAGACTAATATTGGAAACATGTTCTAAATTTAATAAACTTTTTATTTGTTGATCTTCAACTTTCAGTCAACCAATACATAAACATAGTTTTTAAACATTCAGATTATTCTCCACTTGTCGAACCGCATGCGTTGTCGAATAATTTGGTTTTAAACTTACATGAAGTTCTCAATCGAGCTCCCCGATTAAAACGTAATGCAGCTCCAGAAGTAATAGCTGCTGCGTTGCTTGGTCTTAAAGTTTCCAACTTCTTGTGTGAGTGCTCAGAATATGTGCATGCCTGCAAAGCGGCTCGGAGTGTTCATGAAACTGTGCGTTCTTTTTTCACGCCTACAAAATTCCATCATGCTCAGCAACGTCTTGAGTATGACGCTATGTGCATGTAAGTGGAAAAGTAATCTTTTCATTATATATATATATATATATATATATATAACAATTGTATCGGATCAAAATTTGGTCTAGTTTTGTCAAAATATATATCCGGTCTATATTTATTTATTTATTTAAACACATGAATATTGGTACAAAGGGGCACCGAATACATATACGCCACACAAGTCACTTGATTTGTATGTGTGCTGTGGTACTGCCCGGGTGCCTAGACCGAAGCAGGTGGCTTTCTTCATGGGCCACACCCGGAGACTTCGACCTAGAGGTCTAATCCACAAGGCAGTGGAGCAACGTCAGAAGGTGCAGTCCCATGGTAGCCGGTGACCAACGGTTGGTTCATATGCCTTTTGCTCCTTCAAGATCCTGGAGCCCATGTACACCACTGGTTTGGAATCGGAGTTTTCCAACTCCCCTAGGTGGATCCTCCGTTTCCACCAACCCGGTTAAAGCGCCGGGCATTCGCTTTTCGTCCTCTCAATTTCGTAAACAACACCCCTGTCACGAGGAGGCAGTAAGTAGGACTTCGCTGGTAATGGCTGTATACGCGTGGTCATGTGAGAGCATTTCGAGAGGGATAGCAGACTTTCCCCACTTGGAAGCAATGTTGTTTCAAATTGATTTGAATGTTTTTTGACTTTTTAGTGATAAGTAGTAGCTCTAGATTATGATTTGATTGTACGTGAAATTTCAGGTATATATCATTTATAAGTAAACGGTTTAGGTTGTTCTGTAATCATCAACTCTTGAAATATGGGTTGTATTTGTTCCATAAAGGCCGGTTGTGCCAAATGGATTTCAAAAGTACTTCCAAAGAATGAACTTTTAATTATCAGTATTACCACTGTAGATTGTATTTGTATCAATTACTTTATGTAATACCATTTCTTTTACTCTCTCGGGTACGAAGCAGAACTCCGATTCACTAAACATGTATTATCGTTAGCTTGTCAACAATGGTGATTGCTTAGAGTGTAGTACAGAAATATGAACACAGTTCATGAATCTCTTACAGGTAACAGGAGATTCATTATATGGCAAACAACTCAGTTTTATCTCTACGTAGATTGTATAGTTGTTATACCCTTTCAAGCTTTTAAAAGACTGTCACTTTACATTTAAAACAACCATAAACGATATTTAAGCTAAAAGAATCTCTCATAAAGTATTTTTAAGGAAACATTTATATTTCAAAGCGTTGTGTAAGTGTACACCCTTTTTAAATATCTCGCATATTTCGAGGATTATACAAACTCCCAACTTAAATTATTTTTTTCCTTTGTATTTACATGCTTCAAATCTTATTATTAGTATGCTTCGAGCGATGAATGCGCATAACATGTACTTAGAACCTGAAGATCAACAAGTTTTCCAACATGAAGCACCCGATTTACTAAAGTCGATGTGGAAGTCGAGGTTGTTGATGGCTAAGTCAATTAATATGAATAATTTTGACTATTCCTTGTTACCAGTTAGCCTGGAGAATACTTCTCAAAATGCTTATGTTTCTATCGGATTGTCGGCTTCTCGATCATCTGATGAGATTTCTGAAGGTACTTCGTCTCCTTCTATCAGAATTCTTGGACCTGCCGGTGATGAGTCTCCTTGTGTATTAGAAACGCTTACAACTCGACCGGCGTCTTTAATTTCAGATGTATGTTTTTACATTCTACCATCAATATTTATCTGTCTAACTCGTTATTTCAAATTCTTAAAGTACATGCATAAAACTGGTTTTTTAAACTTCTATTTTAATTGGTTATATTATTACTCAAGACTTCGGTCTGGGCACCCCATTAGTATCATAGCCCAACTTTTTTATTCACAAGATTTTGTTGAACACTGCTTAAATCGATCTTTAACGTGTTTAATCTATTATACCTTGAATAGGCGGTTGTCTCTGCATTTTCAAGAATAAATATATTGAATAACTTCCTGAATTTCAACAACGTTTACTTTACAGTTTCGTGGAAAAGATGGGTTGTAGCTATTTTAGGAGTCCAAACTGAGCTTTCCGTCCCATTCGGGACTTTTTCAGGTGTATTTTCCTGCATCTGAATATTGATATTGATATTCACCTGCTTCGTTTTGGGCACCCAGGCAGTATCACAGCACACATACAAATCAAGTGACTTGCGTGGCGCATATCTATTCGATTCATCTTTGTACTAATATTTATGTGTTCAAATAAATAGATAAAATATTGGGATTCGGGCTCGCTTCAAATTCCGAAACTTTGTCTACTGAGCAACAGAGTCAAGGAACGCGTTTAAAGTGGACGGTATTTTGTACATGTACTAATATGTACATCAACACTCAAATGGAGGTACATCCGATTAACAAGTCTCATGTCGTCCGAAATGCAGGTACCAGATTCCACTGTTAAATACTTGTGATATTAGGGTTATATCGATGTAATAGATACAGGATGTACGTATGCCAAAAAACACTGATCAGAATTTGATGTCTCCATAAAACCTGTTTTGGGAGACTCAATAACCACATATGTTGAAGCCTATAATGAAACCATTCACTAATACCTGTCGCTAGCTATACCAATAGTCTAGTTGATGTTATCCTAAACGGACTTAAGCATTTTGTAAAGAGGATCTTACCGTAAATAAACAAAAGAAACTTTGTAACCGAATTTTTATTACTGAGCTGCAATATATTACTCAACGTTCTGCTAATATGGTATCTATATTTTTGGGTGTCAAAACATTTAATCAATTTCCAGTCAAATACTTGTCTTAAGAATTTAAATATTCTGAATTGCTATATTAAAAGTCGCCGTCAGATATTTTCATGTTGCTCACCGTAATTCAACCTTCCAGTTTGTGTCAACAAAATCTAAAAATATCAGTCAAGTGTTTTATTTCATCCCAAAATTCATCTTTTTTCATGACCTTACTTTATGACTTATGTTCTTTGTACTTTTTTCACTTCTTACTTATTGTTCATTAATATATGTTTTCTGGTTTCTTTCGAATTGCTCTTTTATTCAGTCCTACTTTCCAACTGTTTATTCGACCTCTGAAGTTGTGCTCAACCTGTTGGATGGTAATCTTGATACATGTATATCCACTAGTGCTTATATGAATGCCCAACTGGCAACTTATCATTATTCCATGTGTCACTATCAGATTGCTTTTCATTTTACTTTGTTGGCTATTGAACAGTTAGAACTATGTTTCAATCACGGTACACCACCGTCTCTTCATGTTACAGTTGAAGTTCTTCGTATTATGTGCAAAGTATGTATCATCAAAAGAAAATATAGCTTAGGGTTAAGAATTATTCAACATGCATTAGTGTATACCAGGTATGTCCAGTGTTATTGATAACTTTTTAGCAACACAATTCTTTTAAAAAAAATAATATTGGCCTAATTGTGTATAGTATTGTGACCAGTTGTTTTATATCATCAGGTGTTATTTATTCTATTAGTTTATTATTTCTACCTTAGACTTAATCTATTCTGCCGATGGTTCCTTAAATTAACTAACCTTTATGTTGTAAGGTTCTAATTCTTGTCCTATTTCGTGAATTATCTTTGGCCTTCAAGTTTTCATCGATCAGCTTAGTAGAGGGGCACCTTTATGAAATTGCTAGTTGAAACTGGTTTAAACTCATTAAATCAGTCAAGGTCATAACAGACACATGGTATCATAAGTCCATAGAGGCTAAATTCAAACTTTAGTCTAACTCATAATTCTGTTCTTGGCGATTGTTTCCTTTTAATTAAATACCTTAGTTATGTACCAGCATACGATAATGCTGTTTTGGGCGGTCGTCTGATTGCAGTACTGATACACATGCTGTTTGAGTCAGAAACTCAAGACTAAGTAGGAAGACTCTATTGACTATGTCGAGTCTAAATGTATGTACTGACTCATTCATTAATGAAGATATTCGTCCTTCAAAGAATTAAGCCTGTTTTCTAACCAACAGCGTATATCTACCTCTGGATCATTGGACCGAATTTCGATCATTAATATGCATCCGTTAGCTTTGAACTAATACGTATGGTTGACCCAGCCTATCAAATAGTTCATACAAATAAACGAAAGCGATTATTATATAATATTCAATTTTTTTCACTAGTTCATGATTTAAAATTCTAGTATTGAAGTTAAAATTTATACATCTAATTAGTATAAACTGTATATATGTCTTGTGAACCTTTATTAATTCACTAGTCAATTTGTTTTATTTGGAGAATTTGTGGAACGCATTGCTTTAAGATTATGCTAATTGATTAGTGGATCATGAAAAATTCTAAGTTTGATCGACCATTTGAAATTTTCGCGTTAATTAGCCACAGGGATCGAAAAGATCATTTATTTAACTTCTTAAGATGTCAATCGTCAGTATCACCATGCTAAGTTTATTCAGGGCAACACTGACGAATAAAGTAAAACTGTAAACTGTTGTAAAATTTTCATTATTTCCATAGATAACTCCAACATAGGTCTATGATTATGTGACAATGAAATTGTGACATTGTTGACGGATTACATCGAACTTTGGAAAACGGTATTCTCTCTCTCAGGGGAACGTAAGGAATTTGTCGGGCCTCAAATTAGATCAACTGAAGTAGTCAACCGATGAATATTGGAATAATACAATGAGAAGACGAGGGTTATTTTAAAAAAATCAGCAAATGATCTGTAGAGTTCGAGGTCTGTATACATAGCTCTCTTTCCTTATCATATCTTCCTTTTCATATATTTTTATACCTAAATTTCAAAAGTAAAACAGTGGTTATAGCGTTGTTTGTAGAAGGACTGCAGTCTTCCCACGATCAAACATTCAGATATTCTTGAAGGTCACTGAAACTTAGTGGTTATTTACCCAATGCTGTAATTTTCAAATATATGTGCAGACTAACTGACAAGTTAATGACTCTGAGTCATTTTTAACCTGAATGATTTTTAAAATTTCACGTTACATAGTAAGTTTAAACAAATGTTGCTTTGAAGCAAACTTTTACTGGTACAATCTTTAATATGTTTTTTAAAAAATGCAGTTTTGAGATAGTTTTATTATACTAAATGTTCATTGGTAGTTTATCAGACTAATTACTCTTTTTGTGACGAAAGCTTTCTCGTGGAGAATGATGTACTTGGTGCACCAGTGTATTTATTTTATCTTATTTGAACACATAAATATTGGTACAAGAGAGCGCCAATATATATGCGCCACACAAAACAATGAGAATTCGAAGAGAAAAAAGAAGGTAAGGAGCGTAAAAAAGAGAACAATAACGAAGAGATTGGTGTAAGGTAGTATGGTAGATCCGACCTTTTACAGCCAGACTAACATCACGAAGGCGCCAAACGTGGCCCAGATTGGCATAAGCCACTCTGGCTTTCACTATACGTGCATTGATCTCATCACACACCCCCACCAGCACTTATGCAGCTACCCAGATACACGAACTTCTCGACTACTTCTATCTGCTCACCATCCAGGGTGAGTACAGGATTAGAATCCTGCCAGTCTTGTAGAAGTACTTTGCACTGATTGCCAACTGATTAAGTGCGGATTGCATGGCTTGGGCATTATCGCACAGTAAGACAATATCGTCCGCATACTCAAGGTCGAGAAGTCTTTCTCCAGGCAACGGATCCACACCGCCATTACTTACATTCATCAGAGCTGTTTCCAGAATGTCATCGATGGCAAAGTTGAAGAGGAATGGTGAGATTGGGCAACCCTGCCTAACCCCACTGCTCGAATGGAACAATCGAGAGAGGTGGTTGTATGCCCTCACTCTGCCTGAGGTGTTTGTATATAGGGCCTCTAAGATGTTAATAAACTTCTCAGGCACACCCTCCTTCAATAGACAATCCCAGAGAACAGTCCTGTCCAACGAATCGAAGGCAGCCCTTATGTCAAGAAACACTACGATTGTTGGCCTGCGATAAGTATGACGGTGTTCTAACATTTGGTGGAGGGTGAAGATATGATCAATACATCCTCGACCAGAACGAAAACCAGCCTGCTCGTCGCGAGTCAATCTTTCTCGGGTTTTGAACAACCTACGAAGTATGACGAAAGCCAATAGTTTGGACCCAATCGGAAGTAGACTTATCCCCCGATAGTTGTTACTGGAACGACGTGAACCCTTTTTAAAGATAGGGACAACTATCGACTCATTCCATGACGTTGGAACACTCTCTAGCTCCCAGACCTTTGTAAAAAACGTCCACTTTCCAGAAAGTCACCAACATCTCTAAAAAGAGCCGGAGGTAAGTCATTTGGGCCCGGTGATTTGTAACTCTTCAAGAGTTGGAGTTCCTTATGGACTACCACCTCATATGGTAGATCAGTCGTCACCGTCCATGGAGGGCATGGCAGTTCAACAGACCTGCTGGTCCAGCAACATCGGTCGAACTGCCCTTCGAAGAACTCTGCACACCGTCCAAGACATCGATGGATGTTAGTGATTGGCATCCCATCATCCTCGCAGATTTTTTCGCTCACACCAGACTTCTTGCCGCCAGTGGCTCGGATGAGTTGGAAGAGCTCCCGGTAGTTACCAGATGCACCTGCTGCTTCTAGCTCATTAGCACGCTCCGAACACCAGGCTTCTCGGTATTTACGGAAGCTTTGTCCAATTTCATTACGTAACAGCCTTTGTTTGTGGTCAAACTCACGGTCACCCGGAGTAGACCGACGGGTCTCGATGAGTTGTAAGGAACCTGAAGAAACCCAGTGCTTATAAGCGAGACGTTTCGCGAACCCACAACTGACTGTACCCGCTATTTTCATGGCGTCATGCAATTCCAACCAATGCTCATCTATACTTTTCGGTGGAATGGTAGCTAGCCTAGAAACTAGCTCGGTTCGATACTTACTAGCAACAGAAGTTGCAACCAGCTTGCTAACATCAATCCGTTGGTGGCGGTCACTTCGTTGTCCACTGAAAAGTAAGGTAAGATTGGCGCAGACCAAGGCATGGTCAGAGTCCAGATAGGTACTCCAAAAGGAGCGGCAGTCTTGTACACAACCACGCCAGTGGTAGCTGATCGCGATGTGATCAATCTGAATCCAGGCTTGAGATGCAGAGGGAGGACGCCAGGTGGCACATCGTCGATGACTGTGCCGAAAGTTAGTGCTATCCAGAAACAGGTTGTGGTCTGTGCAGAGTTGCAGCAGACGGTCCCCGTTATCTGACCTGCGACCAACGAGTCCCCATCGGCCACCTAAACGACTCTTTTCTGTGCCTAGACGCCCGACCTGAGCATTCAAGTCTCCGTCTAGTACTACAATATCTGTCGAACGCACTTTCTGGAGAAGAACAGATATCTGGTGGTAAAACTTATTCTTGATTGCATCCGGGCTGCAATCTGTCGGGGCATAGGCGGAGATGACGAAAAGACATCGTTTCTCACGCCGATTTCTTCTCACTTTGATGGAACTTTCTAATCTACCAGCACATAACCGACTGTTAATGGGGATCCAATCGATTAGTGCTGCCTCAGCTCTAGCGCTCAGTGCGACACCAATGCCAGCGAGACCAGACGAAGATGCCACAGGGTCCCCGGATAAGCGCACGTAAAACAAGCTTTTTGAAGTGACAAATGGAGAGCGAATTTGTAGCACTTGGCCAGAGTTTTGAATACGGGTCTCGGATAGACAACAGATGTTGATATTAAGACATAGCCAGCCCTATCTGTTGTCCGACTTGCATAAGTGTGCGAACGTTGAAGGCAGCCAGTTTGAATGGTGCACGTGGTTTCAGAAAAACTGCTTCAGTACTCATATTCAGTGGTGACATACAATTTCTAACCGGACAGTGATTCGAGAACGTTTAGATACAATCGAATTTTCACCAAAGACGAGCCGCTGTATAAGTATAAGAGAGTGTGAATAATGTGGTAAATAATGATAATAATAATAATAATCATTTGATTGTTAGTTGAGGCAAGTAAGGTAGTTTCCATAATTATAGGCAGTTCATCATATTTGTGTGTGGGCTGTTATACCGCCCGATTGCCCAGACCGAAGCAGGTGGTTATCTTAGGAGGCCACACTCTGAGCCTTTGACCTAAAGGTCTAACCCACAAAGCAGTGGAGCATCGTAAGGAGATGCAGTCCCATGGTAGCCGGTGACCAAGAAATTGGTTCATACGCCATTTGTTCCCTCAGGATACTGGAGCCCATGTGCACCATTGGTTTGTGATCCGGTTAAAGCGCCGGACATTCGCTTTTCGTCCTCTCATTTTCGTAAACAACACCCCCGCCACGAGAAGGCAATGAGTAGGACTTCCCTGGCAGAGGCTGTATACGCGTGGCCGTGTGAGAGTATTTCGAGAGGGAGAGCGGATTCTCCTCACTGTCGGCCGTACCAGGGCATTTGGGGGCGCACCAGTGTAAGCAATAGATAAAACCAGATAAAGCTCCATCTATTTCGGTTTGATCAACCGGGTATAATATTGTAGTGAACGAAGACTTGGCGGGGATAACCAATTATTTTAGTGCAAAATTACAGAGTGCTTTCATAAGATATGAAAACCACGCATTAAATACATTATTTGCCCATCTTTCTTCAGTTGTTCTTTACGTGTTTCATGATTCCTTTTATACTGTTGTCATTACAATTGCTATCTGTTTTCTCTCCTGTTCTCTATAATCATCTCAGTCTTCTGCTGGTTAGCATTTCATTCCCGATTGGTGCTACATACTGCTTATATTTGTCAACATAGGTAGCATACACCGTAGTATTACTGGCTCTCATACTCAAAGTTTGACTGGAAATCAGGTACACGAATCTGTACATGGCAAATGAGTCAATAATAATTTTTTGTGTTCACAAACAAACCAGATTTTCTTGTTTTTATTTTTATTTCTAATGAATATACTCGTAGAACGTGCAAAGAAATTCAAATACTTTGTACTTTGTTTATAAGAGGCTGTTAAATGTTTTCTCATAAAAGACATACATTGATGTCTGTTTCATTATTTCTTGGTTGAATCGTGAAGTGTTAGTTAAATATATATACATACATTCCCTATGTTTATTTTAAATTTTTGATCAACCTTACTCCATTATTACTTTAATCGATAGACTTTATTACATGTAGGTAAAAAAAGAAATTTTAATTTGTCTGTCAACATTTACGTATTTTACATCTGACTGTTTTCCATAGTAATCAATACCTTATGTTCTACTCACTATGACATATTCTAATGGTTTCTGTAATAAATATAACTTTGCAGACCTTAAGTCAACTACATTACATTTATAATAATTAAATTATAGTCCTTATCACTTCACCTATTCACATACACGTTCAAATGTTTAGTCATATTCTAACTTCTATTTATGCGTATTTATTCGTTACTCAGCTATTGCTACATTCATCTCATTAATCAGACAACTATCTGTTTAATATTACTAGTATGGATCTGTGTTGATATCATACAAGACTAAATAGATATGGTGACGTTAGATTATAACAGTAGTTAGTTTCTTTGGTTGTATTAAATTAAAGACCATCATTCTTTTTTTAATATCATCATAATGAAATACCCCTCTCATATAAATTTGACACATAGTTACAAAGAACACATGGATCCATCTACTTTGTTATGAATAACTAATTGATACTGATTGGAAACTTGATCCAAGTGGATTAGGTTGTTGAATAGTATTTTTTTAACTGTAAAGATATTGATGAATACAGAGAAAGCAATTTACAACTTTTCTTTTTATTGAATAACAAGTATTATTTCTAGTCCGGCGCTTTAACCGGATTCAAAACCAATGGTGCACATGGGCTCCAGTATCCTGCGGGAACAAATGGCGTATGAACCAATTGTTGGTCACCGGCTTCCATGGGACTGCATCTCCTTACGATACTCCACTGCCTTGTGGATCAGACCTTCAGGTCGAAGGCTCGGGGTGTGGCCCCTTAAGAAAACCACCTGCTTCGGTTTGGGCACCCGGGCAGTATCACAGCCCTCACACATATCAAATGAGATTTGTGTGGCGCATATGTATTTGGTGCCTCTTTGTACCATTATGTATGTGTTGAAATAAATAAATAAATAAATAATCATTTCTAGTTAATATATCGTACATATAAAGAGAGAAAGGAATTAGCAACATTACCTTAGTAAATTATATTACCTCTATTATCAGTCTTTTGTGTATTCATGTTGTTGGATGATACATATTAATACACTATACATCCACGTTACGATCAAAATAATACTAGGTGATTACATCTATTGTTTCTTCACTAAAGTTTTGTTTTCATTGTTAAATTCTCATTGAGAAATAACACTAATTACTGAATCAAATATATTGTTTTCTTCTTGACAAAATCGGATATCTTTCTGAATATTTATTTCAATTTATTTATATACTGGACTGTTTTGTAAGATTATTGGTTAAAAAAATAAACAAATATGACATTAAAACTGTATTATTATTCCTTTGATGAAACAGCTATGGTTGTCTAATTTGTTATTTTTCATGACTTATACATCAATTCCTATATCACTATATATATATATATATATATATATATATCACAGTGTATATGTTGTGATCGAAATACGTTTTTCTCTAAAATCTTCCAAGTTTAAAAACATTTACTTATACTGACTTTTTTATAGTTTTAAAATGACAACAACCAAAGCACTTCTTATCGTATTTGTTTTTCATTCTTGCTTCAACATTTAAAGTAGTTCTGTTCAATGTCGACTATTGTCGTTGTTGGTGTTTAAATAATGATTGATTTTTATGACCAAGTCAATATCCAAGTTTAGGTTCGTATAACGATTAAAAACTACACCCATATTTCAGTATTATTTTATTTATTTATTCAAGCGCATAAACAGTTGGTACAAGGAGGCACCAATTAGATATGTGTTACACTTTGTCACTTGATTTGTGTGAGGGTCGGAATACTGCCTGGGCGCTCAAACCGAGGCATGTAGTTTTCTTAGGGGAGGCACTCCCCAAGCCCTTGACCTAAAGCTCTAACCTACAAGGCAGTGGAGCAACGTTAGGAGATGCAGTCCAATGGTAGCCAGTGATCAACATTATGTTCGTAAGCCATTTGTTTCCTCAGGATCCTGAACCCATGTACACCATTGGTTTGGAATCAGGGTTTTCTAACTTCCCTAGGTTTATCCTTCATATCCACCAACCCGGTTAGAGGGTCAAACATCCGCTTTTCATCCTCTTAGTTTCGTAAACAACACCCTCGCCGCACAAAAGAAGTATTCAAGGTACAGTATCTGCATTCGTCACATCAATAGTATTTAACTGTCCATACAGTAATGTGACTGCATGTTATTGAAAATGCGTGGAAGCATTGGTCACCTAGACTGATAATTATAGAATGTTTTTTTCCGCTGATATTTGGAGTCTATCTAACTCTACATTATATTACAAACACAAATTTGGTCATTAGATTTGTTTATTTTTAAAAATCGCATATGAAGTGGTTTGGCTGTAGTATTTGTGCTATAACTATTCAATGTGTAATGCCTCCTTTTTATGACTAAATAACCTTGAAATGGTATTTAAGTTTTGGAGGATTTTTCACCAAATATTTTTCGATATGTTTTCATCAATCTCTGTATTCGTATTAGATAATCTATTTTCTCTCTTTCTGTCTCTCTCCCAACAGATCTGTTTATGGTTATCGTAATTTGATATATGCTAATCTACTTATTGAATATGGGTGTTTAATGCTGAATACAGATAAAACACGTAAAGCAGCAGAAATTTATCGGGTTCGTTTTGCATTGTTTATTAAGTTGTGTATCATTTTTTTGTTTCTGTTTATCTATCTATTTATCATGTTGTACAAATGTGATAAGCAGGCATGACTATAATCGTGCATTAGTTGTATTGTATCGTCAAGACTAGAATAATAATAACAATGATAATAATAATAATTGTTCTTATTTTGTAAATCAAAACAAGACGTAGTGACTGTTTTGTTTTAATATAATAATGATAATAGTGGTTGTTATTATTATTAAATATTTAATTATTTATCCAAATTCGTCTTGTTTTCCCCTTTTAATCATAAATAATTTACTAGACTGTAATATAAATAAGTTTTATAGAATGGATTATTTCTAAACATGCAGTCTTTACCATAGACTGATGTTAGACATTTATAGTTATTTAAAAGCCACATATGATTACCAGATATTTGTTTTGCCTGAATTTTGTAATCCTAATGAAGTATAATTGTGATTAGTATGTGAAGATTCAGTGAATCTGTCATCGTAGTCTAGAATTGGTGTTACTACTTTCAATGTCAAAGTTTTATTACTGGTACATTGAATCTATATCTTGAATTTGTTAGTAGTTATAACTAAAGTCTTAATATTAAAAGTGTTGAGTCGGCTTTCCGAGAACTGCAATGGAGCCTCCAGAGGCCCTAGAGGAGCCGAAGAGTCCTAGACAATCAGAGCATGATGGAGCTTTCTAGAATGTCAACGTGGCGTGCTTCTATTGGTCAGTAGAATAATTTGTCTTTTAGCGGATTGGCTAAGATATGATGTTGATTTAACAAATGTTAACATCTATAAATACCCGTGTTTTCTGTAAAAAAAAAACGAACCTTGGAGTAAAGTATTTTCTCGCATACTTTGCGTCTTCTCTCTTGTGTTCAGGTCGCTGTATAGTTCTAGCTTGGGGGTTACAGAATAGCTTAGGAAACGAATATAGCGTTCAATTCGCAAGACTTATCAAAAAGATTATGATGCATATAATATAGTAATTTTTCTTGAAAGAAACAAAACGTATACAATTATACTACCTTTGATATACTCTTATTTTTTTTAGTAGTAAAATTCTGTTTATCGGAAATTTTGAACTTACGTTTCATGCTTGCTTACATGTTATTACAGATTGTAAATCAAACGATGAACCTAGTTTATATTTATAGTTTATTATGTGTAATAGATATTCCAGTTACCTTAAATATTCTGAATTTTCAACCTTATAAAAAAACATGTATGATTTCTAAGAGTAATATTTTCTACTTCTCATTAAAATGGTTTAAACCATTTAAGATGGAGTCATATTTGTAGTCCTTCTGTAATTTCATCATATGAAGATTTCGCACTAAATAATAATTTTAAACTTCGGAGTATTTTTCATGGGCATAAAATGAATTGTGGTACTTCAATTGATAATGTCTCTGTGAAATTTATTGAATTTATTTAAAGTAGTCTACTGCTTACTCAATTTTCTATAAAGTATCAAGTCTTAGTGTTTGAAATTATCTCTCATTTTAATTTATAAATACTTTGTTTCTATCCCATTCATAATAATTAATTAACGAGAATAAGTAATAAAGATCATTATAAGCCGTGTTCAAATATATAGACTTCCTGGTTGACTGTATGATTTGAGATCATGTTTAACATGACTGGAAATCAGTCACAGTGATGTAAATACATTCTTTATTTATCCCTTTTTAAAACTTCCATTTATTTATTTGTTCATTTCATTCCTGCTTCTTTTTTCTCATTTTATTATCTGTATTTTGTTTTAGTTACTTTATTGATACTGTTATTTTGACGTGTTCTGTATCTATTTAAATTTCTTATTCTTTCTTTCTATATTTTAATCCAAAATATGCTAAGTTGTACTGGTGACTATTTCTGACTAGGTTCAATTGATTATTTTCCTATGAAAACTTATTGTATTTTCAATGATTTATTATAATAAGAGTGTTCATAATCATGAATTTAGTCACTTCATAGATTATCAGGTGATGATTGCATTTTACATTATAATTAACATGTCTCATAATAAAATCTTTACCTTTCAACCACCATTGGTTTTCCTGAGGTGCTATTTATTTTATAGTATTTTGTTCAATATAATTACTCCTATTTATATGACAAATTTGTACAAATCTCTACATGTTTGTACGTCATATACTGTACTAGAAAACTATGCAATTATTAAATGTACCATTTAATTTCTATCTGGTTACTACTTTGTACTGATTTATATGGCGATTAGTTCTGAAATCATATCTATATACATTTTAAACACATGTGACTATTTAATTGTTTCTTTATTTGCTTGACTAGTCTTGACTACATTATTTTTATAGTCTGTACTAATTTTGGACATTCTCATTCGGATTTGCACACCTACTTCAGTTTCAGCAACTGTGTGATATAATTAGTTTTTATATTTAAGATGTAGCCCGTACCTGGTGAATGAGTCAGTTTATATTTTCACAGAATTACAAGTGTGCTCTGAATCCAAAGTTGATGCAATATTGGAAATTTTAGTTCAATAATATGAATAACTCAATATACTGACCACGTTGTATTTGGCTTGTCTGCTTAGAACGCAAAAGTTACGACAGAAAATATTTACATGCACACTAATTTTTAAACCCATTTTTTATTCATGTTTTTTTTCTCAGTTCACTTAATAAGATTAATTATCATTTTAGATTATATACGGCGAAAGTACACCTTTGTTTAAAACTACTGGACAATTGATTCTGAGCTAACACGCTATCATCTCTATCTCACTTATTGTAGTTTATGCAACTTAGAATATTTTTCTTTGTTCTGCATAGTTGATTGATGAATTGGATTTGTTCATCATTTCTTCGGTCTTACTGATTAAACTTGTAATGCTACAGTGTTTTTCCTCTCGTCATGCCGGTTTTTGTTATTATTGATTGACTATCCCTTACCCCCCTCCTGTTTGTCTATTTTTTTTGGCAGATTGCTTTAGCACTAATACTGAATTATTTACCCGGTGCTAGTATTATGGTTGCTTTAGCACTGGAAGCAATAGCTTATGCACATTATGTCCTTGAATATACATCAGGTGATTTCGGTTACGCATTAAATTGTGCCGAGATAGCTGGCCTAATGCTTCGTCGTTTGAATTATGGTGTTTGTATGCAAGCAGCTTCAGCGAGTCGAGTAAAAGGTAAATTATAGTTGTTAGTTGTGTCTAGTTATACTTAGAAAAGAATGATATTTAGTAATTTATGAATTGTTTCATGGTGTAACATATTCAGCTGATGCTATGTAATAATTATTCGGTCGAGTAATTAGTACATAGCATGCATACATTGCATACTACCAAATTGTTGTAAATAAATACACTAATTTTATAAAATCTAACCTTTTAAAAATAAAAAATGAGTTTTCGTGTGAAAACAGTCAAAAAAAGGAAAATTTCTCTTTTCCGAACAAACTTCAAACTTCTCTATGTGAATATTAGTATTCTCATCAATGTATGTAAGTCGATGGTAACACTATATCGTGACTACATTTTGATATACAGATTCAGATTTCATAATCTATATCCAATGACTATAAATGAAGGTCAATTGTTGTTTGTTTTTTCCATCTAACTTCTCTTCCACATTGAATTATGCTAACAAATATTTTAATAAGCAGTATTATCTTACAGAGTTTCATGATAGAATTGTCATTCAAACAGATGTGTTCAACTTCAGTTTGTTTTAAGCATCCGCAACCTGTTTAATGTTTCAGTTTTTGATTACATTCAACAATATATTATAGTGCCACTCAACTTTACCTTTTTAGGTACTACTGAAGTATACTTTTTTGTCTTTCTAAAAATTATGTACGACATATAAAGTATGCTTTGAAGAGATTCTTCAGCAACTAAGCTTAAAAAGTGTTTTGACTCAGCTGTACCTACTCAAATTAAAATTTCAATTCAATGATGTCTGACACCATGGTACTCACTCAGTTTAAGAATGTACCCTGGTTATTATTTTTCAGTTACATTTTTAAAGAGTAGTACACTTCTCAACAAAAAGAAAGCAATAACCATATCATTCGAGTTTAGTTGGTGTCGATCAGAAAATCATTGTGGAACTAATGTCTCTGTACTAAATGCTCTACGAGAATACTGAAGAAGTAGAATATTATCTACTTTGCATCAACTTTATATGGATCTATTAATTTACATGTACTCAGTAAATCAAATAAAATCTGATGATAGAAATAGCCAGTTTGTTTTAAGTTTTTCAGTGTTGAGTAATTATTAGTTTATAATTATAATAATAGTCATTCGCGTATTAAAGTTTTCATTTAGTGAACTAGTGTTTTAGGGATGATATCACTTGGATTTCAATCATTAGATTTTAGTTTCAGATTCCATATCATTTAGATATCCATATACTATCACTAGCCCTCATTCAATAAGCGTGATTCAAAGCTCCTTAAACTTGTTCGTATTTTCATATTGTAGTGTACGGATTCTGTTAAAAGTACACGTAGAATATAATGGCAGTATGACATGAAGAAATCCGTTTTAATCGTACGTTATAGAAACCATAATTGCATAAATATATAAGCTGTTTGTGAGTGTGACATGCATGGATTTATAATCATGTGATACCTGAGGTCAAGATAGCGTGATTTAGTTTAAAGTAACAATTTATAATGTGTAAACTGTAATGTTTCAAAAAACAATGGAAAATCTAGATAGTTTTAGGTTTTAACACTATTGAATCATCTAGACACATGTTAGTTTGAGTTGTTTCAGTCAGTCAAATATGATCAGCGTTAGAACCTGACGAAAAATTTCTATGAACCGCAATACATTTCTTAATCATTTATCATTTTAAACGTTTCTTGTGATTGTTCTCTTATATCTCAACAGTTCCTTGAATTTTTAGAAATGTTCATCATCAACACCTTAGTCTTAACAATTTATCCCTGTTTTCTATTCGAGACAATTCATTGTAATTAATTTCCTTAGTTTGACTGAACATTTCCAAGTTTTGTAGATTGTTTAGAGAAATGAACGATTTAAAACATGTCGAGAGTGAAACAGTTTGTTTTCAGTTGCATTGGATGACCATCGCTCTATATCGATATTGATTAATGTTAAAACTAAACTATCGGATACTTAATGCTTCTAAGAATTGTGCGTTCGTTGCGAGACCTGAAGGTCTTCAATACTCACCCCTGAAGAGTTCTATACTAATACTAAATAGCTGCCTAGTGCTTCCTGATTTCCAATCTTATCCCGATTCGGATTATTCTGTGTTGCATACAATCAGCAGATCAAACCGATCTCCACATAATCCCTTCAACTAAAACAAGCGAAGAATTGATTTCTCGATGAAAATGTTTTTATTTAGGTTAAACTTTTATTCTTTTTCCATTCATTCAAAGCAGTATACTTTTATAAGTCTAATAATTATCTGATAATATTTAAAGCACATGACTTTTAACCGATGGTTTAATTTAAACCACACCCAAGCTTATTTTGGATTGAACATTAGGCTAGTATCATAGTAGTAAGTCTTACATTAATAACGTTACATTCATGAATTGATACCTTGATTACGGTGTAGCATTTTTATTCATATAAATCAAAGTATTTACTTTCGATACCGCCTATGAACAACTATTAATGAACACCTATCTATCGTTTATTTGTATAGGTTGTTTGATTCTTTCCATTAATGTCCTGGATTCCACTGCTAACCACCATCCAACTCTCATTATAACACCGTATTTATAGTTTATAAATCATATCACATTCGTTTTTAATCATTTGTTGAGAGTTATTTTAAACTCAATGTAATCATTACTGAGCTTAGACCATTCCCTTGAAAATTCTAAATGCCGTCTTCCCAATTTTGTTCATATTACTTAATTCCGGATATTATCTGAATAACTAACATTTGTGTACGATAACGAAATAAAACTCTTGTTTCTGTATTTCTTACGACATCTTTTCTCAGTAATCATTTGTATTTACTTGTTTTGTATATTCCAAAGAGAATGTTCTCCCTGCCTTCTTCTCATCTTCTTTTATATTCTTTCAGATTACTGATAAATAAATGGTTATACTTTCGATTGTTAACAAAAATATTTTTTATGTCTTTTACACTATCTTGTGTTGGTCGAATATTTGCATAGCCTTTAATAACGAAATATTATCAATATTGCTTTTTTCTATCAACTATCTCCAGCTTTGATAATTGAAGAAATTGCTATTGATGATAATGATCCATCTAGAACAAGATCTGATTTGAAGTTGGCACGTGATTTGCATATGGAATCGTTAGAACTTTGTGAACGAGTAAGCTATGTAATCTTCATTTATTTGTTCATAGGTTGGTTGACGTATTTTTAATTCAATCTCAAAATCTGTAAATTTCATAACCTTTGATGGAATAGAGATTTATTATTCCTTTCGCGATATTACACAATCGTCTTCCATTTTCTACGGTGGTTACATTCCTCACACCTTACATGGTTGAACTTCACTGGTTACGACTTCTAATGTGATCATGTGCTCACTAATGACTAACTTCGTTAGGAAATTCCCCAAGTCCTAAGCCGGTGACCAACGATTGGTTCCTACCCCATTTGTTCCCTCAGGATACCGGAGCCCATGTGCACCATTGGTTTGGGATCCGGTTAAAGCGCCGGACATTCGCTTTTCGTCCTCACATTTTCGTAAACAACACCCCCGCCACGAGAAGGCAATGAGTAGGGACTTCCCTGGCAGAGGCTGTATACTTGTGGCCATGTGAGAGCATTTCGACAGGGGGGCGGACCCATCTCACTCTCGGCCATACCAGGGCATTTGGGGGCAGTTTACGATATGTAGTCTATCCTTTATACCTCAGATTTTCAATTCTTCTCGTGATAGAGAGTCCCATTCAAACAACTCAAAAAATACAATGGATCATCATATTTAATTTTAACATATTCATTTACATATGGATATTATACCATTTTAGATTATAACTAATGTTTTTTCGTATAACATGTTTCATTTTTGTGTTGTTTTAAAAACAGTTTACTCTATTTTTACACTTCGTAATGGTTATTATTATTTTTAGTTTTATTCAATGTTATGTTTTTGGTTTTGTTTATCTTATATGTTTACATAAAATCAGTGTATTATTAACTTATCCAAATTACATGCTTTTTTTCTCAATGATTCCTTAACTAATATCGCTTTGTAATAGAAATCATCTTTACATAAATATTTTTATTTTTCATCAAGTTTTATAATTTCTAAGTATAGTTCTAAATACATTTTGAATTGATTTGTGGGTTTTTATTTTCTTGGAAAATTTCCTTTTGTTTCGTATTTTTTTGTTTACGTCATGGTAACAGATTGTTATGTATAAATACTTTGTTGCGCCAATTGAAAACCTGATGCAATAACACAAAAGACTCATAGCAGACATTATTATTATTATAATTATTATTATTATTATGGATAGTTCTTTAACTATCGATGTCTTGCAACTCAAAATACAAAGGAAATGTAGAAAATTTGTGAGATCTCCTACAGATTATAGTACAGCAATTATTTTCCGGGTATTTGTTTTGAGATGTCTTTAAGAATCAATCACACACTAAGGATACAAGTTTCAGGATTCTATATGAAACATTATGCTCATATTTACGTTCAAAAATATAAAAATGGTATTCTTGAAAATCTTGTTATGATCCGTTTTTGGTCGAATATTTTTGAAATATTGTACTCCCAAACATAAATTAATTACAATTAGGCATAATAACATAAACGAAAGGTGTGTTTACTATCAATGTCGTGAAATTTAATTCATCTTTAGCTCTATTATAGCAAATCTATTGAATCTATTCTAGGCCCTTATTATGTATTTATTTGATGATGGTTGTTTAGTGTTGTGTCAGTTGTATCGATCTTGCATGTAATGTATATATAACCGTGTACGTTTGAGGTCAAAACTATTTGATAGCTTTGTTTTGCTTATAGTCCTACTTCAGTTAAGCTTACATTATGAATACAGTATTGGGTACTAACAATGATAGTAAGCTGCTGTTCATTGTTCGTTTAAATGTTTCGTATTAAATTTCGGTTTTACAACTGTCTGTCTTTTTTTAATTTTACAGACTTATGGATTATGGAATATTCAAACTGCAAAACATTTTGGTAACCTTGGTCGACTCTACCAATCAATGCAAAATAACAAAGTAAGTTTAAGTAGTAACTAATCTATTTATTGATACCGTTTTAAGTCTTTTTCACACAGTTTTCTACTTTACTCAAAAAGGACTTACACACCGAAAGTCTTACTGTAAGACTGTATGGAAATTAAACTGTGCGACATCACAAATTGTATGAGTTTCGCTCACAAAAACAAAAAATAGGTTTGAATAGGTGGCTTAACAAGTGTCTTAACAGTATATTTACTTTGTGGATTTTCGATAGAACATAAAATCCACAGAATCAGTTGCTTTCTAATCATGACAAGAACAGAATAAAGTGTAGTGTTTTGCTTGTTTAGGGGGTTTTGAACATCTTATCAATCTAATTTTTTCATGACGTCTACCTTGAAATTACTTCTGAACCTTTCTTTCGTAGTTCGATACACTTCTAAAAACAGTACTATTCTCTTTGCCTACTCTTGTAATGACGATTGCCTTATTGCTGCGTAATTGCTTTGTAACGTATAAATTAATATTTAGATAGATTAGTAATGCTATATTTTTGATGGTATAATATACCTGAAATTTCTCCCGCATTGCATCCACTTTTTCATTAAAAAGGCTTTGAAATATACATAATTTTAAGCGTGTTATTTATTCAATGCATGTTGGAAAACCATTACTACTATCGTACTGACTAGTGAAAATACCTTACAATGACTGTTTATGTAATTTGTTCTATGATTATTTTGATTATCCCATTGTTGACATTTTCACTGGATTTCGATCAGTTTTAATTGGCATGTGTTCGTTCATCTTTTGTCGATTACCACTTCTAAACGCATTCTATCTTTTCTATATAAACGCGTGATGTAATGGCTATATTGAGGCAGTCTTCTCAGGTTCTTCATATGCCGCATGACTATCGTAACCAATGGTTGGAGACTCTGGGTGATATGGCTCAGAATCTATCACAATGGAGTCGGCGTATACACTCTCTGTCTCCTATTAAACTATGAGATTAAAATCGCTTCATATCTTTATTTCTACGAACTAATTCTTTCTCCCTGTACTATGTCCTTAAATGCAATCTTTCTTTTATATATTACCACCATTGAATTAAGTACTCCTATGAATCCGATGTTCATCTTATTGTGTTAATGAGGTATGGCAACTTTGACCGATGCACATATGTGCCTGGTCCTACGTTGTAGCTGACTGACTGACTGACAACTTAAGACTGATCGAAATTCAGTCAAAACATCAACAACGGGATAATCTAGACTATTAGGAATTAAATCAAAATACATACCTGTTGCACAAGTGAGCAGGCAATCGAGACTGAATGGCTATGTGTATCAGTGTTAACATTTAAAGAAAAAGGCGATTAGTTTAGGTCCCAGAGTGATTATGGATTTTGTGATGCAGGTACATCCATCTAACGAGTCATATCTGGGAGGAAATACGCGTCATAGATTCTATTGTTAACCACTTTCCATCTATTCTAAGTAAACTGATAATATGGTTTGTTTTATAATATCATTAAAAAATTTAGGTTCATGTGGTATTTACGAAACTTACTATACACTAATATTGTCTTTATCATAACAGTTAAACTTTTTCAACCACAAAACAAAATGATTTTCAAGTTGGTCGTTATAATCTATCTTGTTGTTTTACAGCTAATTGAATAAAGTGTTTTGAATGATCACATTATATTATGCAAATGGCACAATGATATATTATATGTATCGGTTTCATCATCTTTGTGGGTCGTGTGTGTGTACTTGCTAGTTTGTTCGTAGCACCTTACAGTATAGTAAAAATATAGTATGCTCGTGTACGAGATAACACATATTTATTTTTGCCGTGTAGTAGAAATAAATACAAGGTCAAAGAATCGATAAAACAATTAAACAATCCCTTTAAGGGTACTTCCTTACGATACTGGATTCTACATTATTTCAATATATAACGCTTTACCAAGTGTGCAAATAGGTATTATAGTAAACTTTAGTTATCATACGGATCTACATTTCTGTCTATTTTAATATTAGATATCTGTTTAGTACTGATTACTCAGAATATTATTTTTTCTAATCGACTGAAAATCTACAAAACTAACCAAGAGTATTAAAAATATTCTTTTCATACTGACTTGTTGAGACGTTTCCAGTAGTTTGATATGCTGAAATTTGTCAAAGCTAGGACTGCTTTACGCGAGACCTGGATATTCTGAATATGCGATTCTATATGATATCCTATAAAAACTACCCTGTAGTTTTAATTTCAGACAACTATTGGTTGATCAATTATTTCTACTATTGAATTAGTAGTTTTTGTTCCAGCTTTTGTTTTTAATGAAACAAGAGAAAATGTTGTTATTATAACGAAGGAGAATTGCGTATCTGTTTGTTGTAATTTAAAATCGATCACCTGGATTGATAGTTACTATATTTAAAGAGTTTATAATACCACCTAAAACCGGAAAATGGAACGAAAATCAGCAGCACTACAACAGGACGAGCTACGTTTATTCCACTACGCCCCAGCCCCGCTAACTAGAGGGAGAAGACCAGATTCAGCCAAGGGGAATGTCTATTCCACAAGTAGTTGGAAGCACACATCTCATGCGTAATATATACAATACAAAAATGTCATTGAAAAACGTCACAAAATAGTGTACTAAAAGAGGAAACGAATCAATGGTGTTTAAGGTCCTTCCAAATGAGAAATACGAACTGAAGGTAATAATTCGGCCATTGGTGTGAAAATGAGAAATACGAATTCCTACAATTAAATTGCAAAAAAGGTTTACTAGATGATTTCTGAGGATATAACATCCACAACAATAAGAATAGTAAAAATCACTTTCCAACTTCAATTTATTGGCCTAAAGTTCCCAATAAACTGATATACGCTTAAGTAACAATTAGCCAGAAGTGGAAAGTACCGTTTTTTGTTTTGTTTTAATGACACTCCAAAACTGGACATGATTAAAATGAATTAAAATGTAAATAACTATTGAAAACCAATTCTATGAACCATGCATCAATCTATGATATTAAGATTGAATGATCAGGTCTAATTCTTCCTGTCTGTTACTAATAGTATTTAATTCTAAATAAAATGTTACCTATCTGATGACTTAGAATTTCAACTACATTGATAAGATGATATATATCACTGATCAACTAAATAAATCTAGTCATTACTAAGTATTTTATTATTTTAATCTCTTTTTTGTTCATTATATATTACTGAATATATCAAAAGAAACATATCACATGATTTTAGATAATCTTTCAAATCTCTTGTTCATTTTGATATATATATATATATATATATATATATATATAGTCAGAATGAGGGTTTATGGAAATTGTTGTAATTCAATAGTTGAATTCATGAGTCGATTTAAGCTAGACCACTCCGAAAAACCTGGAAGCACTGGACAACCATTTCGTTCTAGTATTGGCCTCCTCAGTAGTGTGCATCCACCGTGTCAGTTCTGAGACAGTTACTGAAGACAATGGTGAACGGTCGCGCAATATCGTGGACCGGTTGAAGTTAGACATTAATACCGTTGGATGCCAGCTCACTGGTCTAGAGATTAAGCGTTCGCGCGCGAGAGCCAAGGACCTAGTTTCGAGTCGCGCGTGCGTGATCTTGGATGCACACTGCTGAGGAGTCCCATACTAGGACGAAACGGTCGTCCTGTGCATTCAAGTTTTCCATGGTGGTCTAGTTTAAATCGACTCATGGATTCAACTATGTATATATATGTATATATTCATTTATTTGAAAATTTCACTCATTATCTGTGGTTGTCTTTATTTTGAATAGTAAATGTTAATACAATTCTGTGATATCAGTATAAAGTTGTGGAGATTGCCCAGTTTTTATTGAGATCATTAACCGATCAATACTAGACCGCCATTGAAAACCTGGATGCACTAGACGTCCGTTTCGTCCTAGCATACGCCTCCTCAGCAATGTGTGTTCACGCTCCCGCACGCGGGAATCGAGCCCAACCTTGTCAGGTGTAAGGCAGTTACCCATCAAAGACAATGGAAAATGGTCACTCAGTATTGTGGGTTGAAGTTAGACATTAATACCATCGGATGCCGGCTCAGTGGTCTGAAGTTTAGGTGTTCGTGCAAGACTAAAGCCCCTGAGTTCGAGTCTTGCCTGCAGAATCGTGGATACACACTGCTGTGAAGTTTCATACTATGATGGAACGGCCATCCAGGTTTTTAATTGTGGTCTAACATTGATCTGTCCATTATCTCAATAAAAATTCTTTAATAGTCAAATAAAATTTCTTGTACTTAGTCTTTAAGGCAAGTGCGTTTTCTAAGCGTTAGTGATACTATCTGTCCTTATTAATGCAGCAAAAAAAACTATTTAAACCAACAGTAATCTAATGATTGAACTTCAAATATTTATATCATCAACTTACAGCACTAATTGTACTGAATGGTTGTTAGCGTTCAGCATTTTGTTTTAATTTCGATTTTTTTTCACATTTTGGATTTTAAAATAACAAAGTATTCAAGGCTTTTTTTAATTCACTTAGTCTTATCAGTCAGAATCAACATCGACCCTGGCATAAATGTATATCAGCCTAATGTGTCATTAGCACATCAGCACAAAGAGATTAAATTAACATGGTGAATTATAAATGAATTGATATAGTGATTGTATTGATTGTTGTGAAGAGGATTAACTATCGGAAAATATGATTTGGTAAGAAGACATAACTTTAAGAAACAAGTTGCATGAAGTAGTGTTGAAGGTAGGATACAGAAGAAATACACTGTGATTGATTTTGAACCAATATATCTAAATATTGACCACACTATTGCGTTGCTTATAATGGTTTTCTGATTAACCTTACTTTACACTATATTGCATTGTTCCTTTTTGTTTATATCTTTTTTTTTCTCTTAATCCATTAAAGTTATCATTTGACTGTTTCCTTTTATTTTTTTCCTTACATTTATTTATCATTTCAATAAATATGATAAGGAAGCAGAAATTATGCATTTAAGAGCTATTGAAATCAAAGAACGTTTACTTGGACCGACAGATTTTGAAGTTGGCTTAAGTGTTGGTCATTTAGCTAGTCTATACAATTACGATATGAATCGATTTAAAGAAGCTGAACAGTTGTATTTACGTTCTGTACAAATTAGTGAGTGGAATACATACATATATGCATTTAACATTTTTAGACGTTAATGATGCTTCAAAAAAATATTCGAAATACTTTTCGCTTTTTATTACTTACATTTTATTATACGATGTTTCTTTGCGTTTATTTGCGTGTGTTCAACTAATCAAAATGAACTAAATGCTTTTGGTTTGTATATAACTAGTCAATGAAAATATGTTTGTACAAACTGTTAGTAGATAAGGAATGGCTTTTGAGAAGCAGTCATTAAAATAATCAGTAACTGCAAAAATGGTAATAGATGTATGGAAGACAGCTTCAGTGTTGCTGAAGGTATGCAAGAGTTTGTAACTTACTGATTACCAAGACTGTTGATTGGTATTTTGTATTTAAAAATTTCATGGTGTCATCATCCTTGAAGTGTGGTTTTAGAGTCTAATGAGCAACTACGTTAGGCTGATCATTCACTATCTTTTCGTGAGTATCGAGTTGTCTTTGATTGATTCTGTATGTTTTATACTTTACCTCCGGCACCGAGAGTTTATTAGCTATCAGAGATGTGTTTAATCATAAGGTTGACCTTTTGTATAATGTATTTCTGGAAAACCAAAATCTCTGAAGACACGAGTCGTTTATGTAAAACAAACTCCTCTAAGTTGGAACAGGCGGCAAGTATGAGTTTCTCCGCAACTACACAACATATTTCTTTTATCACAGTATTATCATCAAGCCTCCTTTATTCACACTGATATTTTGAGATTTGTCTAGTTCAATAAAAACTCTGTTTTAGTTAAAGTTCTATTCACGGATTTAACTTTTGAAGCAGAAAAGGACGAAAGAAAAAGAATTATTCTCTTAAAATGATAAAAATATTGATTAATCATTGAGAATAATTATCTATGCCCCAGTATTTCTTTCTTTTCTTAAGAAAAAGAAAAGATTTCATTCTTTTAACATGGTAACGAAAATATTATCTAGTGTCAATAATCATCAAATAATATTCTGAATTGTTTCTCATGCTGTTCTCATTTATTTTCCACGTCATTATATATATAAGTAAGAATTGTCAATAAATTTAACGAAATAGGGGGTGTATTGGATGGTTTGTTTTAATTGTTTAATTCAGTTTTATTAATTCATACACTAATGATAAACACGGATTCATAGTGACCAATACAGATTTGAATTACTGATTGATGAAGGCATGAAATGATGTTTAGTGTTTATGTCTGATGTATATGAAATAATATTGTAGTGGACGAGAACACAATTGGGGACAATCGAATGTATTTGAACACAAAATTGCAAAATAAAATCTGAGAACCATACAGTAAATACTTAGTTTGCAAAATGTCAATCAATTATCTCACACTTCACTGTTCCTTCATTTTCACAATCATTCTCTTTTCTTCGATCTTAACATTCTGCTGCCATATGTTTCACTCTTGATTGATGATACATATTACTTATATCCATCGACATCAGTAGCATATGGGAGATAGGTACAAACTGTTCCTGCCTGTTATAATTTAGGAGATAATCGTAATTCTTCTTCCATACCCAGTAGGTAATTTCGGATAAAATGACTCATAATGAGTTATAGTAATTTCGGTGCCTATTTTTTCCCTTTCTTAAATTTCCTGGCTCCCAACATTTTTTCTCATGTTTCCTGTATACGATTATATCTTTTTACTAAACCATATAATTTACGTGTTTAGCCCACCGATTCTATCGATGTTACAATTTTCACTTGGTTTTTTACTTTAATTTTCCCCTTGGTATGCTGATATGAGATATCACACTGTCGAATAAGTAAACGTTCGTCCCAGGTTATGCACAGTATGTTTTTGCTAAAAGAATCTATGGATTGAGGTAGTTCACACAAATAAATGGTGTATAGTTGGTAGTGGGACGGAATAAGCGCATTTCATCCTATTTGTTACTCATCAGTTGGATATATAGGCATCCTAATGTTGATGTTCTTACTGAGACTCGTGTCCAGTACCTTTAACTTCAAATGTCAATGTTGTTATCCACTGAGCTACTGAAGCCAATTACGCTCATTTACAATTTCATAATCCATTTATTTGATAAAACTTGCAACAAAATGGCTATACTGATGCGATTCGCACAGGATGCACAAATGCCAAAAGAAACTAATCAGATTTCAATTCTAAATGTTAGCAACCAATTAATTGCTTACCTTTACTGCAAATTGACTGTTTTTTCTCTTTTGTATATGTAAAGAATCATTTTGTAATAACTTCAGTCTACTTTCTCTCTGTTATTTAATTGATAGTAATTGTTTTAAACCATTTGATTGGTAAGTTGACCAATTATTATTCTTTACTTTATTGTTGATTCCTATTTTTAGGTTTAAATTTATTCGGTCCTACATATAGTGGATTAGAATATGATTATCGTGGTTTACAACGTGTTTATCATGAATTAGGTAATTATTCAGAAATGCAACGTTACCAAGGTTTATTTGATTATTGGTCTAAAGAAAGACAACGTCTTCGTTCATTAGAACCATCTGAATCATCAGATTCTTTGGAATTTCTTGATGAAAATAATATTATAGGCTTAACTGAACAATCACAACTTTTAATGGAATTATTAAAAGAATATAAATATCAGTTTAAATCAATCTTTGAGAGTTTACATGTTGATTATAACAATGAGAATATGGTGAATACTGCAACAACAAGGCAAGATAACTTCAATGTAAACTTTGGTGGCAGTAGTACTATGGAAGCTAGTCGATCAACAGGATATTAATATTTCATGTGCATGATATATATATATATGTTTAATCTATATTGTTTTATATCTAGAAAACGAATTGTTTTCGTCTGGATATGTTTTATTTGAAGAATGAGTATCATTTTTTGCTTCTCATTACTTCATTGTTTGTACATATGCCAAAAGAATATAATTAGTAATATATATTCCTTTTTCAAATCTGGAACTCTGTTAACATTACGTATGGGGCCACTTATTTTAACAGACATTGAAAGGTATCTAAAAAGTCAACGGAGAAGAATTAATCTATTTTGAATATAATTGATTTAGATTAGCTCAATCGGTTCAAAAACTTGATTACCTGTTTGCATGCAGATTTCAAATCTACAAATCTATTGGTCTTCCGGTTGTTATGAAGTTTATCATGTTGCCTCTGTTGGTACCTGGATGAGGTCAAGTTTATATCTCAGACTTTCATAATGTTTTTCTACAGGTCTTTTGGGTTCATTCCATTTGATTTTAGTTTCGAAGTTATGCGTGAAATCTTTCATTTAGGTCTAATCTTGATGATCAGCTGAAGTCACCTAGGAACACTGTCAGAGACCTGTTTGCATTTAGTCATCTTATCGTTCGTCGTAAGTTAGAATAAGTTTTCTTGTTTCTGTTGATACTTGACAGTTCGATTGCAGCAAAGCGTTCAAATCAGTTAAATGTGTGCATGGGAATGTTGATATTAACTTTGATCATGTTAATCCTGCCGTCACTTCATAAAGAGTGATGCGCTTGCTTACCCACTGTGAATCATACAATACTGTTTTCCATGGTGTCTCAGTTGCTGTTGTGAAACATTGAACCTTTGTTTGTTTCCACAATCTTAGTTATTATTCTCGTTGCTTTGAGTGCTGTGGTACTTCCTCTTACTTAGTTTACTCGTAGTTCGCCGCAGCTAGAAGCTTTTGGCGAATCTCCTAATATCCTGTAGGTCAAGATTAAATTTTGTACGCACTTTATTGTTATTCTTTAGACCGGTGGGGGTTAATATGAAGAAACTAATGATAATGTCTCCTTGTTCTGTTTTGTAGCGTCATCCGTAATAGTTATGTCTTATATCGTTAAGTACTTCTTAATCAGGCTTAGCAAAGAAATGGATTAGATTAATCTCCATCTAAACCTGTCGTATTGGTTCATAAAACTGAGTTCCACTGTCAGACAACACGTTGAAATGCGAATTGGTTTTTTCTCAGAATATGTTTGTATTCTCCCTTACTATCTTGCTGACTTCCCGTCGTCTGTTTACAGCAGTATGGTGAAGGTACTAGTGGACCCTAATTCATAACTTCGGGACATATCACTCCAATTTATGTGTCATGAAAAAATTAATGAGTCTGGGATTGTTAGTTTAGTTAATTTTTGAATACACTTTAAAATTTGGTGTAAACTTCTAGTGGACATTGTAGGGAGTAAAGAGCAAGCTGTGTTACTGTTCTAATAAGGCTTACTGGAATTTCGATTCTTTCTAATAGTGAATTCATATTGTTAAAGTCTATTATGAGACGCATGGTGATAAGATTTGGGGCCATATTTGTGTAGTTTCCAGTTTCTTTTGCTTTGTTGAACCTTATGTTTCATAAAGAGTGGTTCATTTCTCATATTCTTATTGAATTAAGGCGCAAGTGAGTCTGTCATTTAGATACACAAACATTCTCTTAAGATTGTTTGACAATACAGTCAAAATGTATGCTCCATCTACTTTGAGTTTTTTCTTTATCATAAGAATACCGAATGTTTAAAAAATTCCCATATTGTGAGTGAAAACAACATATATAAATGAACGAGATTGTTTTCAATAAGATCATCATCAGACTTTAATATATGCAGTAATATTTATATGCATATAAGAAATTATAAAGCCAATCAAGACGCTTTATAAGTCTGTAGTGTGGCGTCGAGTCGCGTTTGACCATGATCACCACTACAGGAAGGATACCTGCCAGTTAACCGATAAGATCTCCCGTAGGCCAAATATCAGAAGGCAATTGATGGGTGTAGTCGAGATGTGTTTGTTGGCGATCTCGTGGTATCGAAAGAATACTGAGACCGTGCCAGGTTACAAGTGTGGTTACTGAGCGTAACCGAATTCGTGCAAAGTCACAATCAACGGAAGAATGTACGTGTTTCGATACAGCTAAACAAACACGTACAGTAAAATAATTCCTGGTACAATTGGTTATAATAATAATTGTTTCCATTACACCAATCGCGTTCTCTTGATAAAAGTAGGTCACTACAAGTCCATGATAACAATGGAATAGATTGAACGAGATAATCATAATAAGTACAGAGTACAACTCCGTGATTACATTATATGTGTACTATTTGTTATAATAATAAAAGCTTGGACCCATGTTACATAATGGGAAATAGGTCAATGGCTCGAAAATATAGATACAGAAGTAACATTCATAAAAACTACAAGGTTACTGTGGAATTTATACAAACTAATGATTTCTTTGTACTTGATCGTGCAATAATTACGAATGGCAAATATAATGTGTTCAATTGCGCTCACCTAGTTCTACTTGCCTTAAATTGCATTATTTTGGGGATCCTTAGTTAGCACATTAGTTCAAATACTTCTAATTCTCATAATTAAGTAGTAAGAATTGTCCACAAAATTGAATAGTGAAGCGTATACTTAAAAGATAAGAACAAACGAACGAGGTGTAAGGAAAATAACGATAAGTGAAAACATTCATTAGGGCTATTTTGGATAAGGGAGAGATAAGGGTTTTATAACTTTATTATGAATACAAATACTTGGGTCCTTAGCCCTATAGCTTCTGCTATGTGTAAGAGACGAAATCGAACCTCATAAAGAAAACTAATAGGGATACGACAAATCACTTTAAATGACCTGTTTCGGTCTATTACGTGGCCGCTGGCGAGAAAGTGTGATAAAACAGAGCTGCATGTTTTGTGTAGTTACCCTTTCCTAACTACTAATAAAGATGTCCGTTAACTCGTTGACTCAGTTGTTTTGTTGTGATAACTTTCTCCGCAGGAGCAGCTGAATTTGTGGATACACATAAATGCGTCAAGCCCAGGTAACTTATGTTCTAATTGAGGAATCACCATGGATTGGTTCGTAAACGACAGGCGGATGTTATATACAATAAACGATCCCTTCACTGCTCAAATCAGTTGGTCTCGTAGCACATCACCAGCTATATCTCCACCGAATTACAGTTTCAGGAAGAGGGATTTCCTGTTAACCGTTTATCGCTTTACTTTCGTGTTTATTGAATTCACGTGTTTCTTAAAAAACGTAATCTGCTCCAACGTTTTAACTGTTTCATAAACTTTCTGGGTTGGTTTAATAAGTCCATATGTGTATATAAATATTACTGTATATTAGAGTAAAGCCTGATGGGGATCTTATTGAAAATAATCTTGTTCGCTCTCATATGTTGAATACTAAGTGGTCATGAAGTACTTATGCAGTAAAATCGTAAACAAGGCATAAATGACCGTTGAGAACTACTAATTTGAAGTAAGAAGTATAGGGTTGTATAGTGATATTGTTACACATAAATGTCAAAAACATGAAGCATTTAAAATGTGCAATAATCGCTCACCACAGTTGGACACAAGCAGATCACAAATAATGTACGTGATATAGCTCATTCCCATCTCGTAATAATAATGATTTATGTCAAAGTAGTTACATGTCAATTTACAACTTCAATAAGAACATACATTCGGGGTTTATGCGAGGGGTACTATCCCAGTGCAGTCATTAAGAGACTACATGAATAATTAGAAATGATTGACAATAAAATTTTCATGGAATTCTATCGAATAACTATCCGTGTAATGAAACCCTCTAATTAGTAATAATTTGTCATAAAGTAATGAGTAGAAAGCATCCAGTATAGTCTGTTATCTTTAGGGACGCATACGTAAGGTAAACCGTCCAAACTCAGGTTAAAGCTCTATAGCTGTGTGCTATAAATGTGGTACTAAAAAAGGAAAGAAAATAAATACGGGCAGTAGGCGAATAATAGCAAGTCCTCAATAATCTTAAAGTGTTCGCAGTGGAACAGATATATGTATGTTTAATCAGTAGATAAATTCCATCCTAGTTGCTATTAAATACACGAATATGGTTGAAGAATACACGGTGATAAAGAAATTTAGGCTGTAACGTGTAATGAGGTGAAACGGGTTGAAAAGATGAAGAGGAAGCTAAAGTAGGAATCGATTAAAGGACTTAATAAAAGAATTGAAAGTGCTTATATACGCTCCGTCATTTCTCTCTTCAAATGCCTACTTACTAGTCACGTGTAAACCCAAATCAGCTTGCTGCACGTTATTTTGATAGCACAGTAGAGTCAGCACAAAAAAGGAAACATTTGTCTAGGATGGTAAAACATCCTCACTAGAGTTGGATGGTTCTTACACCGGTCAATGCTATAATATAGAATTTGCAAATCACCAGCTCAGATGACTTGTGTCGAGTGATCCGAGGTCTACTCGGTTTAGATAGGAATGATGTGACCTACCATCTGACATCAAGGTCACACCTCGCTGTTAGTACCTAATGTGGATTACCCTGCCATCGTATTCAGTTACTATGGCTGCTCTGATGACCTGCACGCTTTTTGAAAGGGTAGTTTAGTACTAATGTGATTGGCATTTCTCAAACGTTTGCTGTGTTCTTACGCAACAAAAGTACCATTTCTGATCTAAAGAATCTATTCTGTGCTATGCGTTTGATAGATTGCTTTTTTTCAGTTTCACCCGATTTATTATTTAATTATGGCTTTGCTTTAGCTGACTATTCGGTTTTTTCAGCTTTTCACGTAAAGGCCAGTTTCAATTTTTCCTAACCCGTTTTATCCATTCTCGCCCGTTTTTAGTGTGCTTTTTAGTGTGTTTTTAACGGTCTTATACCTTTGCTATCATCTATAATACAGTTTACGTCAATAAAGTCATGAAAAATTCGTGCGAACGACCTAGATGCCGTTTCGCTGTTACATCTGGCATGCAGTGCGATAATTGTAGAGGTTGATTCCATCAAGCGTGCACAGATCTCACAGCAACTGCCTACAACAAACTCAGCAAGTCGGATCATAAGTGGGTATGTGTTACGTGCAACATGAATGCTGTATTTTTGCTGAGTGACAGCATTGTCTTATTAACAAGTCTGCGGAATAAGTTGTCAGCAAACTTGGAAAAAGGCAGTCATACAACGGGTAGACAAGCAAGGACGCTCAATGAAAACAAGAATAGGGATGTCGACAGGTTTAATATCGATGGGGCATGCAATAGCACTTGTGGTGACATGCTGAAACTCAGCACCATCATTACGTCGACGGTAATGCACTCCCTCAGCAAACTTGGGTCTTCCAGTACAAAGTCCTTGAATGCAACAGTTGTTCTCAAAAACTCTGTAGGTGATTGGACCCTCGTTAACAGGGCTAAAAATGACTAGGTGTCACCGTCTAAGCTGAACACCCCAAGTATTGTACGGAAATCAACTAATGACTTGGCTGCACAGTCTATACCCAAGAATATCCGTCTGGCCATCAAAGAGCCTTTCGTGCCTTAAGGTAACCCTCGTGCTATTGATAGAAGAAACCAGAGAAGTAGTGAATAGGTCTTTATTTCGATCTTCGCGCAGTCACAGTGGAGTGTGGGATTATCTGTTCAGACAAACAAAGGCTCTCAACATTCAATATAAGATAATAGGGAATATAACGCTTATAAAAATAAGGAAGTGAATGAATACTTGAACAATACTGTTTTAGCATATGCTTGGTTGTTTGGGGTCAGCTCTTAACCAACCAACCTGACCTGTTACAAGCCTACGATTAAGAAACGTGCTTCGACCTCCAAACAACAGAGTGCTGAACCTGAACTCACCGGAAAACCTGAGGAAACAATAATGGTTCATGATGACTCTCTCGTAATTATGAACCTCAAAGACAACCCTGACCTTCATCTCACTTTGCAGGACAAAAACGACAGGATGCTCTGGGGTGAATTAAACAAAAAGCTTGAACTTCCTAAAATAGAGCCTTTGACCGTCACGTGACTCACTCGTAGAAAGGACTCTTAGCATCAAAATCACCCGAGGCTACTTAAGAATGTTATCGGCGTAGAGTATGTCCTG